TGAGTATATTTTAGGAAGCAAAACAACATTTCGAAATCGTATGTTAATTAAATGGATCACTTCTTTTATATGTGCCATGTCGCTTCAGGACATGGCGATAATGACTCCCCGCAACTTCTAACCCTTTATAGCTCTTAGAATTTTCTTTTAACGATCGCTTTCACCTTATTCTGCTATCCATTTACACAAGGCCATTTAGTAGTTTAGTCTGTTTCCCTCTGTCCATCTTTCCTTCAGTATGACCTGTTAGTGTTAAATTCTCCAAGCCCTCTTTCTTCATTATGCGTTCCAGAAAAGTCAAATAGTTCTTTTTTATTCTGTCATTTTGTTCCGATTTTTCTTTAAAATTCCCCGTTGCCCACATGTTCCATTCATAGTATTCTCAGCATCTTTCTGTAGAACCACATGTGGTCCCAAGTCTCCTCTTCATCTGCGAGGAAATTGTCCAGCAGTCATTGCCATATTGAAGGATTATGTATTATATAACAGTTCAGCTTTCTTTCCTTTGTTTCTTACAAAATTTTCTTGTTTCTTAATACATTGTTTAGTTTTTGGAAGGTATTTTCCGCTCTTCCAATTGCCTTCCGTTGTCTGTTAAATAAAAAAATTCCCAGGAACTTAAACTTCTGTCAGTTCAGTTATGTGCCACGCGTGATACACACTTAGACGATCATGTATCTTTCGATACATGTCTGACGAGGCAAATTTTATCCCACAGCAGGTTGCCATTTCTTTCTGTGGCAGACCCGTTGACTGGAGGGAGGTCGAAGAAGACAAAATCTGCATGTAAGTGAATGTAATGGATTTGACTGGAATTGGAATTCGAACTCGGCCCTTCGATTCTTCAATCCCAGCCGATATCCATTACTCTACCGTGCCTCCTCCTGCTTCTGTACGTCACTGATATTGACTCCAATCCATTGTTCTTCTAACTACCAATACTGCTTTCTTACAATTGACAATTAGTCCTTTGGTCATGCTTTCCTTTATTACCTTGTGTAGAGGCTCCAGATTACTAGGAAGTAACAACACTTACTAGAGGTTAAAACATTAATAAACTCTTTAAAAATAATTTTAGCTCATAATAGCGTTCATATGAGTAAATTAACATAAAATTAGATGTTCTATAAAGTTATTTTGAGAACCATCAAAAGACACTATATCCGGTCAATGATTTACTTATATAAGTAATTTAGATAATAATGTTGCTATTTTTGTATCGTTTTATACGTTTCGATTTAAAAATACCACACTGGTTAAATTTATGCATCCTAAAACACAGAGAAAATGATTTAATTAGCTTTCAATGCTTATCAAAATGATTAATGGAAAAGTAAGTTTGTATAACATATCAGCGCTATGTATCTTGATATCCTGGACAAGATCCAATGAAGAATTTTCAATATTATCAATCACGACCTGGCATCTTGGTTTTGATCACTTTCCTAGTGCCGTAATGTATCTTTTCTTTGCCTTTTCTATAAATATTTTTATGGTAATAGTCTGATGAGCTTACCTCTTTTAGTACTTAAACTTTATGAATTTAAGCTCTGCACAGATGAAGGAATAACTTGAAGCAACAGAAATGTGATTCTACAGAAGGATGCAGAGGATACCATGGACCGAACATGTTAGCAACGGCGAGGTTTTAGAGAAAATGAACACAAATAGGAAATTTATACTTGAAACCAGGAAGAGACAGTTGGAATTTATAGGAAAGAGGGTTTGGAAAATCTGATACTCACGGGATAGATTGAAGGCGAGATGGACAAAGAAAAACAACGCAGGTTATTTAAGAAAATTAAATTTCGGCATTAAATGATCCATAAGTAATTGATATGCTGCTAAACAAACAAAGCAATGTTTTCAGATGTAAAGTGACAAAGAAACAGAAGATCCCTTAGAGATTTGATGAAAAGTATATAATTCAGTGTATGAAGCCCTCGCCCACAATGATTTGGGTCGCCATGTCTAAATCTGGAACAGCAGGACACTACTTCTTGTCTCCAATAACAACGATGAATGGTGTAAGGTATGCGGAACTAATGCAGGAAAAGCTGGAAGTGCATATGTACATTAAACAGTGCACAATAGGCATGACGGTGTCCCATGGCACCAGTCACAGGTCATTCATAATTTTTTGAAAAGGACTGAACATGATAACACTCAGCTGTCCGGGTAACAGCCCATATCTGAATCTGTTGTGATGTGGGGTGTGGCAAGACCCAACACTGAACTCGACACAGTCATTCGTGATAGCAGTGTTCAATACACAGCTAGACAAGACACTGCAATAATAACATCTTCCTCTTTTGACAATTATCCAATCATGATAGAAAAATCAAGTCCAATCATGATAGAAAGGAAGGTAAGTGAATCCAATTGAAAATTTATGGGAAATTGTCAAAAACAGATTTATAGAAAAATAAAACTTCAAGTAATGAAGCACTAATGGGTTATTTAAGAAACCTTGACAAAAGAAATCTCCGTTGAATACTTTAATAATTTAGCTATACCCAAGCAGTAATCAAAAACAAAAGAGGTCATACAAAAATTGACCTCTGGGCTGTTTTGCTTGAAAGTAATAGAGGACGCCATCATGTACAAATTTACGATTAAAAATGAGTCAGTTTCTAATGAATAACCTGTTATTGTGTTACTTTTAAGTTTAACATATTAAGATTAGAGAAAGTGGTATTATGTTTCTTTTAATGACTATATATATATATATATATATATATATATATATATATATATATATATATATATATATATATCCTTCAACTACATGTTTCTAACGTCTACCCTGAACTCTGAAATGTTATCACCTAAATATTTTTCTCACCTTAGGAATTGATAGGCGCGCCTTTTTTCCGTTTCAACATCCTTCCTGGTCTTTGAACAAGAGTAAATGTCTATCCCTTCTTTCCTCTTTACGTCTGCGTTTCCGGTTCCTTCTAAAGTCTACTTCAACATTATACTTCTAACGTCTCCCCTTAAACTCTGAAATTTTATTCACTCATTATTTATTTATTTTATATTTTCTTCTCTCCTGATAAAGTAGATAGGTTCGCCTATCGAGCGGTTCACACTCCTCCCAGGTCTTTTGAACAGGAGTATAGGTTTATACCCTTGTTTCCTGTCTAGAATTTGGTTTCCGGTTCTTTCCAAAGTCCCACACTACTAACGTCTCCGTCTGAGCGCTGAAATTTTATTCGCTTATTATCTATTTTATTTTTATCTTATTTTTTCCTTTTCTTCCAAGATAACTAGATAGGTTCTTCTGTCGACCGGTTCACACTCCTCCCCGATCTTTTGAACAGGAGTAGTGACTTATCACTTGTTTCCTATTTAGAATTAGGTTTCCAGTTCTTTCTAAAATCTACTTCCACGCTATACTTCTAACGTCTCCGACTGAGCTCTGAAATTTTATTCGCTAATTATATATTTTTATTTTATTTTTCCTTTTCTCCCAATAGGAGTAGATAGGTTCGCCTATAGACCGGTTCATAATCCCCACCCCCCGGTCTTTTGAACCGGAGTAGTGGTTTATCCATTGTTTCTTGTCTATGATTGGGTTTCCGGTTCTTTCTAAAGTCTACTTCTACACTATACCTCTAACGTCTCCCATTGAACTCTGAAATTTTATTTGCTTATATTTATCTATTCCTTTTCTTTTCTTACTCTCCAATAGAAACAGATAGGTTCGCTTATCGTCCGGTTCACACTCCTTTAGTGAGTAAAATTTTCAGAGTAGAGGTTTATCCCTAGTTTCTTATTTAAGTTAGGGTTTCCGGTTTCTTCTTAATTCTTCTCATTCTTTTTCATTACCAGTAGTCTCTTGCATGTTAATAGCATTATCATCTTGCTTGGGGTGAATAGACGAGTAGAGGTTTATCCCTTGTTTCCTGTTTAGGATTGGGTTTCTGGTTCCTTCTAAAGTCTTTTTCATTCTCTTTCGCTCCCAGTAATCCCTTGCATCTCAGTGGCATTATCACCTTGCATGGGATGAATAGAGGAGTAGAGGTTTATCCCTTGTTTCCTGTTTAGGATTGGGTTTCTGCTTCCTTCTAAAGTCTTCTCATTCTCTTTCACTCCCAGTAGTCCCTTGCATCTTAGTGGCATTATCCCCTTGCTTGGGGTGAATAGATGAGTAGAGGTTTATCCCTTGTTTCCTGTTTAGGATTGGGTTTCTGGTTCCTTCTAAAGTCTTCTCATTCTCTTTTACTCCCAGTAGTCCCTTGCATCTTAGTGGCATTATCCCCTTGCTTGGGGTGAATAGAGGAGTAGAGGTTTATCCCTTGTTTCCGGTTTAGGATTGGGTTTCTGGTTCCTTCTAAAGTCTTCTCATTCTCTTTCATTCCCAGTAGCCCCTTGCATCTTAGTGGCATTATCACCTTGCTTGGGGTGAATAGAGGAGTAGAGGTTTATCCCTTGTTTCCTCTTTAGGATTGGGTTTCTGGTTCCTTCTAAAGTCTACATCCACACCATACTTCTACCCTCCATGACTGAACTCTGTAATGTTATTCACTAATTAAATCTTGACCCTTTCTGGAATTAGATGCTATCTTTTCTGCATAGCCTCCAAGGGCTTCACTACTTGCTCTTTCTTATGCGCATACAAAACCGCACAGTAACATTATATCTTGAGTGACACTTGAGCCTTGTATTGTGTAAAAGAAATATATGCATATATGTAAATAATAATAATAATAATAATAATAATAATAATACAGCTAAAAAGAAAATGTCAAAATTTCAGGCTAATAAAACTAGATTGATTTTCAAATAGTTTTAGATTGTATGAATTTTCTGTGAAGATATAATAATTTTTTAGTGATTACAAATTAACTCATAGCTTGGGGGAGAAGATGTAGATTCATAGATTTCACAAGTTTATTTGCGCGTAAGTGAATATAATGAGCCCACCTGGAATTGGAACTCGGCTCTCCGATTAACAATTCGAGCTATTATCCATTGCACCAACCACACATCTAAACTTTCAACACCTGCTACTCCCAAGCGGTCACCCATCTAGGTACTGACCAAGCTCGAGGTTGCTGGACTTCAGTGATCGTACAGGAAACAGTATTTCAACGTGATGTTGCCGTAAACCTGAAGTGAAGAGGAAAACAGAACATAACCTACGTAATGGGCTTGTGTAAATAGTTGTCAGAACATGGATTAAGAGAGATAACAAAAAGACGAACTTTACTAAGAGCTATAGAAGACAGGAAATTGTGGAGCGCCGTGTTCGCCAATGTTCTGGAGAGACGCATCACATAGAAGAGGAATGAAGAAGAAAATTATATTGGAAAAACAACACTTCAAACTTCTTTCATTTTCTTCTCCACGGAAGAAGAAGAACATAAACAATCCATAAAACTAAAAAAGTAAATACAAGAAGCGGCAAAGTAATAAGTTTATAATTCTATCAACAAATCATTCATCTACAGAAATTGTAAAAATATGACATTTGGTCAGTAAAAATATAGAATAAAAATGCATCAGGCGCTGGGATATATAAGATAGACTGACTGCAATGCTGTAAGAGATATACTGGTGAAACATCTAGAAATGTAAAGACCTGCATTTATAAGTATAGAGAAACAGTCTATAATGCCTTCAGAAATATACTGGCGAGACATCTAGAAATCTAAAGAATTACATTTATGAATATATAGAGACTGCTTGCATTGGCATAAGAAATATATTAGTGAGGCATCTAGAAATCTAAAGATCTGCATTTATGAATATAGAGAGATTACCTGCAATGCCATAAGAAATATATTGTTGAGACATCTAGAAATGTAAAGACCTGCATTTATGAACATAGAGAGACAGTTTACAATGCCATAAGAAATATATTGGCGAGACATCTAGAAATCTAAAGACATGATTTTACGGATACAGAGAAACTGACTGGAATGCTATAAGAAATATATTGAAATATAGAAATATGAAAACCTGTATTTATGAATATAAACAGACACTCTGCAATGCCATAAGAAATATATTGGGTAAAATCTAAATGCTAGCATTTAAAAGCATTGAAGCGATCTCCATTGGGGTAACCAATGAAATTCTCTAGTATCAAGTAGAAATAAAACAGGCTATAATTTTGATTTTAAAAATTCTACTGAAGTTAAAAGAAAAATCGATGAATACCACCACTAGATAGAAGACAATGGCCGGAGTGGAGTGTTCCGCCAATACACACCAAACATATTTGTTTTTTTATCATCTATATTCATAAAGCTTATACTTTGTCAAAAAAAATGTAGACAGACATGTTTAGAGTTTAATTAGCAGTAGACAGAATAATGATTCGGTCTGACAGACATTGATGTGCTTTGGTACACTTCAAAAACTACCTTTCTTTTATTTTCTTTGATTGTATGTAATTTTATTTACATTGTGCATCATTGAATAATAACAAAGTGAACTATTTATTTTACTTTCTAGCATGATTTTCGATTTTAATCGCAGTAATTTAAAAACAAATGTTAAAATCCTAATCAGAGACGTTATGTAAAATCCCTCTACAAGTCCGACTTGCTGTACGATCGGGTTATCGCCGACAAAACCGGTTCCCAATAATGCATTGTAATAAGTATTCCTGGGTATAACGATAAACTACATCCGTCAGCAAGGCCTCTGGTCGGGAGATTTTAAATCGTCCTACAAGTCCTACCTGCCGTATGGTCGGGTTATCGGTGACGAAACCAATTCCCAATGATGTAATGTAATAACTATTTCTGGGTATGACGATAAAAATACATCCGGTAGCAAGACCATTGTCGAGAGATTGGAGGTTTTGTGGAGCGTGGAGCCAACAATTAATTGCTGTTGTACCCAGATCCACCCTGACCCGGGGTGGAAGCACCTGTAAGGGTTTCAGCTATGGACTAATAGTGAACCCAAAAACAAAAACAAAACACTATGACAGTATAAAAACACATTTTTATAGTAAAATTACTGACAATAACTTATTATAGAAAAATGACCAACAATACATCTTTCATACAAAATGAACATCAATACATTTCATAGAATTACCAACACTATATTTTACAGTAAAATGACCAACAATACATTTTATAACAAAATGACCAACAATACATTTTATAACAAAATGACCAACAATACATTTTTTAATTTCCATCAAAATAAATTTAGTATAATTGTTTTCAAAATATTTAGTTTAGATTTCGACATTAAATAACCCAAGAGCTTAATATACCGGCAAACAAAATCAACCAAACAACTAACTAATAATTATAAGGTGGCAGGTGGTGAAAAAAGGACATCAACTGAACTTTGACATTTCTCTCCTAATAACATGTAAATAGACATCGAAACATCAGTAAAAATCATAAAAATCTTAAAATCGTAATAATTGTAAAAATAATAATTGTAATCATAATAATCATAATAATAATCATAATAATAATAATCATAATAATCATAAAAAAATAATCATAATAATCGTAAAAAGTCATAAAAATTATAATAATCATAAAATCGTAATAATCGTAAAAATAGTAATCTTAACAATCGTAAAAATAATAATCGTAATAATCATAATAATAATCATAAAATAATAATCAAAATAATAATCATAAAAATAATAATCATAATAATTGTAAAAAAATCATAATTATAATAATCATAAAATCGTAATAATCGTAAAAATAATAATCGTAATAAGTATAATAATGATCATAATAATAATAACCATAAAATAATAATCATAAAATCGTAAAAATAATAATCGTAATAATCATGATAATGATCATAATCATAATAATAATCCTAATAATAATCATAATAATCATAAAAATTATAAAAATTAAAGGGTGGGAAGGTGGTGAAAAAAGGACAATATTATACTGAATTTTGACATTTCTCTCCTAATAACGTGTAAATAGATATCGAAACACCAGTAAAAAAAAAAATCTAAGCCACCAAAGAACAAATTATTAGTTTCCCTTTTCTGAAATGAAGTCAGCATGTGGCTATATCGGACAGTAAGTACACTTTAATCATTTACTTTATGTCAGGTAACTCTACTGTTACCATGTAACCTAATACTACCTGTCGCATGGTCGGGTCATCAACGACTAAACAGAAAAGCCTGGTGAGGTAGGTGACTAAACACAGGATTAAAATCAGACTTGTCAAAGGGTGGATGAATCTTTTTGTAGGGGTCAACGGTCATCTAGCACATTTCGGTAGACTGGGTTCCATAGCTATGGATATAGCCAGCGTGGTGATGACACGCCATTGCCGGGAAGGGCGCTTCCTAGTCTAAAGTCATTGATCAGGGTGGAGTGTTACCCCCGATTGACTCAAAGTCTACATGCCAGTGACCAAGGCGAGCCTTCAACTTGGAGGAAGTTGAACTGTGGTTTGACCTGGAGAGGGATGTTCTCCGCCAGGTTGACTTGCCTAAGACACCTCTACTTATGGCTTTCAACCTAGATATTTGACGATAACTGGTCGAGTGCTCAGCTGAGCAGTGACCCTACGACCACATCTGGTCATAGGAACCGATGATAAATCAGAGAAACTCTTGAGATTGACGCGGTTATCTCCCTTATTGCGCGTCAAATGAACCATGTGGCGTACACACACACATACACACACATACACACACACGCACACACACGTACACACAGGTACGCGCGCGCGCACACACACAAACACAAGCACATACACGCACGCACACGCACACGCACACAAATACTAGAGATATGTTTTTATCTCCTTTTATGAGCTTTTATGTATGAAAAATATATAAAAACCCGTCTGTGTTGAATTTACTTATTCTGAAGACGTCGAAAGATCCATCTGCATGCTGTTATAAATGGTAACCCCCTCCCATTACAATTGGTAACCTCCCTTCCAACTCCTTGTTACAAATAGTAACCTTTCTCCCCACCCCCTGTTCCAAATGGTAAACTTCCTTCTCAGCCCTGTTACAATTGGTAACTTTTCTCCCCGCCTCTTGTTACAAATGGTGATATTCCTCCCGACCCCTTGTTACAAATAGTAACCTTCTTTCCCACCTACCCCTTGTTACAAATAGTAACTATCTTTCCCACCCACCCCTTGTTACAAATATTAACCTTCTTTCCCACCCACCCCTGTCATAAATGGTAACTTTCCTCCCCACTCCTTGTTACAAATGGTAACCTTCCTTCTCACCCACTGTAAGAATTGGTAACTTTCCTTCCCATCCTCTTGTTACAAATGGTAACTTTCCTCCCTACCCAATGTTACAAATAGCCTTCTTCCCACCCACCCCTGTTACAAATGGTAACTTTTCTCCGTATCCCTCTTTTACAAATGGTAACCTTTTTCCCACCCCTATGTTACAGTTGATAACATTCCTTCCTACATCCTGTTACAAATGGTAACCTTCCCCCATTACAATTGGTAACACTTTTCACAATAAATAGTGACTTCGTGGTGCTTTTGACAGGCAGCCTCAAGAAGAGGAAATCTTTTCACATAAGCAAATATGCCAACGTTCACGTCTTATTTTTTAAAAACATTTCCGATTAGTATATAAGGCGTTACAGAGAGTGAAAGACCCAGAGAAGAAAAGAAAATGAACATGATTTCAAGAGACAGACGATAACGATTATCATGACATTTAAATTTTTCAAAATAATAGTAGATAGCAAAGCAGGAAGCCGGAAGAGAATTTCATAGGCGAGAAGTGCAACAGAAAAAAAAACTATTAGCATATAACTAACGGTTACAACGAGCAATTTCAATTAACTGCCAATCTAGTATTGTGATCAAATTCGTGAAGTCGAAGTTACATAGAGGAAAGCTCATCAGAACAATTACCGTAAAAGTCTTTATCGAAGAGGCACAAGGAAGCTGCGTTACGGCAGTGGGAAAGTGACTGAATCCAAGATGCCAGGTTAGGATTGATAACGTTGCCAGTTCTCTCTTAGATTTTGTCAAGAATCTCTAGATTATTGAGAGCGAAATAAATAAATAAATAAAAAGGACATTAAAAGAACAGGTTTCAAGGAGACAGACGATGACAAAACTGCAGTAAAATTTTTTGAAGAACATATTTGACAAGCAAGCGG